TCTTTTGTACATAAGCTGGTTTTAAAAGTTAAAAAAATCTAAGAAGTTCTAAATCATTAGTTTCAGCCTATCTGAATAAAAGACTGGGTATAACATGTTCTAATATGCTAGTGCTTTCTCAATAGAGAATGCAGGACATAATGTTCAGAGTGAAAATATAGCAGATTGTTATTGTTACATATTTATTACAATATTATTAGAAGAAAATGAGCCTTTTCTCTTACAATTGTAAAAGAAAACAACAAACAAAACAAAACATACGTATACAAATACCTATACGTAACAATTACACATCAGTCATATAAAAAGGTTCTGTTCAAAACTAATCATAGGTGTTTTCATACTGGCTTTGGCCAAACTTTCCTTGAGCAGTGTCTTTGCATGTTTTATGTACTTGTATACATGTATCCCATAGTCCTTAATTATGTGTCTGTTTGCAATAGTATGTTTAATATACTCATCTTAAGGATATAATAAAAGCATATGATAATATTCACTTGTTAAGAAATATACACACTGTTGATGTTCTTTTAAATACATAATGAATATGTTTAAAGTATACTGTACTGGAAGTTTAGCCTTTTAATAAACAATTAAACATAAACACGTGGCAATATGAAGTAATGTACTTGCGTGTGCTGTATGTCCTTCATTTACATGTGCATCCTACTAGAACATTGCAGTAAACGTTAGAAACATCTTGCTGCTCCTTTCATATATTTTTGTGTGTGTGTGGCACAACCAACAGATTTAGAGTAATTAGAGTGTAAATTTCCATGAAATGGGGTGCTGCAGGTAAAGGCAAGTTTTTAAACGCACAAATTGCATAATTCCTCCAAACTTAACTACCTTTCGTAGCAGTACATCCTGGTTTGAATCGAGGTGACGAAGAAAACGTTCATGTTCTCCCGGCTGCTCTCCTTGGAAAGTGACAGTATGATGGAGTGAGTGAGTGTCCGCTGAGTCTATGGTAGCCTGATTGTTCTATCATGTACTAATAGAATGATGGACTCACTCATAGGACACTGGGAAAAGGTTAACACAAGTTTATTTACAGAATGTGATGCGGGAAAAAAACTAAACTAGAAATACACCGTCTCTAGTGCTGTGGGTTGGAGGACAGAGGAGATGCATCTCAGACAGAAAAAAATAGAGGACAGTTTTCCAAATCTTTAATGAATGTATGGTTTTATGATAAAAGGCAAACATTTTCAAATGTGACAGCTTTTACATACTGGAGAGATAAGACATTTTTAAAAAGGAATACTGGAATGCAGATAATTAATGTAAAATAAGCTGCTATGAACAGATCCAGATGTGATGAGCTGAGAAATGATTGGCGCCAAAAATTAATGACCTATTTACCTTTAAAAGGTACTTGTAAGGATGTTTGTTTCCTAAAATTAGTTTTGTTTTTTGCAACAAAGAATAAAATACAGTCAGTCTCTAATCCTGCATGCCACATCCTTCTTGTTTCATGATTTGGTTTGGTCCAGGTGCCAGCGCTCTTACATTATGCTGAGCATTAGAGCGCTAAGACAGTAGGACGGCCCTGTTAAAAGTAAGATCTGTGTTTCAAAAGAGAGAGAGAGACAGATGGACATTACAAAATTTCTTAAAAAGAGCAAAATCTCATGAGGTTCATGGATGTACTGCAGTAGGACATGAAGAGGGTTGGTGTGACAAAAGAGGATGCTAAGGATAGAGGTCCACATTCAGAGGTGCAACCTGCCCACCAAGTCTATTGTTACGAAATAAAAACTGTGTGTGTGACGTATAGCAGAAGTATAGATATGTATTTTGCCTGGCAAGGCTTTCA